GATGTAAAAATAAACTGTTGTAAAATAATAATAAAAAAGAGTTGGAGAGGCAATTCATAACCATTTTATTCAATGTTCTAATTTTTTTCACTTGTAATCCACTTTTTTTTTAAATTTTATAATAGTTTTTTTTACATATTTTTGTGCATTTTTCCATCTCAGTTGCAATCCCCTTGGGTTTCCCATCACCAGATCACTCTGTGTCATCACCTTAGTTCAGTGCATTCCCTCCCTCCACTGTTTTTGATCCCATTCCCCACTCCACCCCCCCAAAATGTCTCTGGTAGATAGCTGTTCATCATTATTTTCTCGCCTGGTCTGTTATACTCCTGCTATGAGAAAAACCATCCAGTATTTTTCCTTTTCTTTCTGGCTTATTTCACTAAGCATGATCTTCTCCAGCTCCATCCATGCTGCTGCAAAAGACATGTGTTTCTTTTTTTTTAGTTGCTGAGTAATATTCCATTGTGTATATGTATTCAATGTCCTAATTTAATAGACAAGAAAAATTGTTCTGTGGGACAGGATGACACTGGCCACACAGAGCTGAGTGGGATTTCTTGGTTCAATCCAGTCATCTTCCCTGTATTCTGTGTCCTGGTGTTTCAGTTCTTTTCTTAAACAAACAGTTCTTTGTCAAGATTTTCCTTCCTTCCTTAAAATCAATTATTGGCAGAGCCCTGGAATTCTTGGAGATTAAAAGCTGGATTTCACATTAGCAACATCAGACCAGGAAATTAAGGAATATTTCTCAAATTGCATATTTGGATCAGTAGTTGGGTCACTGCTGTGATGTCTTTCACTTTCCAAGTGTCTGAAATCCCTGGTATCAGATCAATTGCTTTGGTGTATTTTCTTTTCCTCAGCTCCTTGGATGAAGGTTTTCCTAGACTTCCATCCTGTCCAGGGCTGCCCCTGGTAGACTGCAGACTAGACAAGGAGTTTGCTCCACAATGGAGCTCCTGGTCGTACAAGACTTATTCTCTGAGCTGTTGCAGAAAAATGCTGAGCTATAGATGTTCTTCTGCATTTTCCCCAAATAGTTTGGTGGAAACCTGGAGGTAAAAGGAATGCATTAGCAAAAAGTTCAACCCAGTTTGGATTAAACAAAAAAGAGTAAAATTAAATGTGCAGCAATGTGAAGACTTGATTCTTTTTCCTGCTTGGATTTCTAGTGATAGAGAAAGTTTGAATTTTAAATTCTATGTCCCTTCCCCACTCTCCTCTGCTCCCTCCGCCTCTCTCTTTTTCTCTCCCTGCCTTCTTTGCCTTTTTAAATTAAATTCCTTCACACTAATGTGCTCTTTTCAGAAACCCATTGATTTATAACTGGTATCTAGGAACGCTTCCACAAGTATTTTGTATGATATCATTAAAAAGCAAGTTGCCAAGGTAGGGGGACATTCTAAAATTTCACAAGCAACTCAAACTCTTCTTCTAGCCAATTTCAACTAGGCGCCTAACTTCTTGACAGTAAGCACACATTTTAGAAATTTATTTTAAATAAACATTTAACTAAGTTTTATATTTCATACATTTAGTGCCCCTTATAGATTCACAAAATATTGGTTCAAACAATTTGATAGTCATTTTACATGTTGAAACAGAATATGGTACCAAATATCTTATTAAATTCAAGCAATTAATCAATAGAAATACAGTCAGCAAATGAATACTTTATTTCCTAATTTCCTAAGGCAATTTAAGTGTGTTGTGATGGAAAAGCTATAGCATTACAATCAAGTGTTTCTAAGAACTCAACCCAGGATCATGAATGTCGTAATGTTTGACATTGGTAGTTTTTGTCAGTTGATAATGATAAGAAAAATCTCAATATATCTTTATTGGAAGATACTGTCATTTGGACATGAGGGAACATTTCCAAGCCCACTTCTGCAGAAATACTTCCCAGACATAAACCCCACTCACCCACCTTTCCAAGCAATGCCTTCTACTGACTCTTAATTCCTTTCCTTTATGGCCCTCAGGCCACCTTAGTTACACCCTGACTCCTACGCCATCTTTTCTGATACTGTGGATTGTTTGGAGCTAAACTTACTTAGGGGCCAAAACCAGGGAAAAAAACGCATAAGTCCCAACCACTCACAAGGACATTTGCCTAAAGCTTCTCTTTGCATCTTTTTTCAAGTCTCCACAAGCCGGAGGGCTGCCCCCAGACTGCAGCAAGTGTTGCCATGGAGACTATGGCTTCCGAGGCTACCAAGGCCCCCCTGGACCTCCAGGGCCCCCTGGCATTCCAGGTAAGGATGAGAGGGATGCTGGTCTAATTGCAGGCTCTGCTTAACTAGGAGCCAGAGCTGTTAGCATGCTGCCAAGGCGCACCTGGGACTCCACACTGTTCAGAAACGAGTCAGCCATCCCAGCATACAAAGGCAAAGGAAGCAGACACCTGTGGAAGGTGTTTAACACAACTACATATTGGAGAAGATAAGAAAGGATATTAAGTTCCCTAATAAGAACTCCAAAATTGCCCACGCCCTTATGGGCAAGTACCCAGCCAAACAGACACAGCCCATGGCTGCTGAGGTCTGAAAGCTGCCTCAAGTCAAAGGCATTTTCCACTGGGGAACCACAAAAAAAAGGGGTCAGAAGGGTTTCAGAGAGCTGGGACAGAAGGAGCTATTCAGATTTCTAAATGTGCCATATCATCCACCGTGAAGTCAGAACAACAGCTGCCACTGTCGCTGCCAAGGTCTAGGACCAGCCCCCCTCAGAGCTTCTCACCCCAGTTCTCCCAAGTAGCTTTCCAAGTGCTGTTACATGTCTCTCCTCCAAGTCCTTCCCAGCAGCCCCAGGGTGCAAGGCAAACTGGAACAGCAAAAGAGAGGGCCTCCTTCAGGCAAAGTCAGCTCAGCTACCTCCCAGCAGCCCCTCACCCCCACCCCAAGGCCAGTTCACAGTGGGACTTGTAGGCCAAGCTGACCGCATCTAAGTGGGGGTGGGGAGGTGGTGCCTATTCACCTTCAATGAGGCAGTCTCTCCCCTTTCATGAAGAGTCATTTGTGACAAGTTCAATCTAAATAATTTGAGATCACCTGTATGTGGAAAAGAAAATTGGGTGAGCTAGTGAAGTGGAAAATTTTTGTTTGGTATCTGTATTATACGGGTGTCAGCCCCCTGGGCTCCAGTTTCACAGGTGGGGGGCGCTCTACCAGCATGGCGTCTGGAACAACAGGATCTTAGTCAGGATAAGTTCTTGGCTCAGCGTTGCTGCCATACATGTGTCTTCTAGTAGACTATTTCTAACTCTCAGGGGATTTGCCAGGCGAGGGTGGGCTACAAAGGACAGCTTGCTGTCTGACTTATAACCATCCCACAAATCCATGCTCTGAGCAACACATACTTCAGTCTGAGTCTAGGTCCAGCTACACTTTCTCTCCCTGGCTTTAGGGACACTCCATGTTCAGCTTCTCTCAGTTGAGTATCAGGCTTCCTCCAGCTCATGGGAAGACTTGGGCTGCAGCCCCACATGGTTGGGGGGGCAGTGCTGTAGGACTTTGGGGGCTCCTCTAGACCCACTGCTGAGTCATCTCTATGTATACCACATTTGGAGACTTCTGGGAAAATGCTAGCCCAGGGTCAGCGGGAAAGGGCAGTTCGGTTCCCTCTATCTTGGGCTCTTGAGGCCAGCGGGAGGGAGTGTGGGAGTGAGTCAGTCCTGGGGGTAGGACCTGCTCTCAGGGTTTGGCAAAGGCCACTTGTTCATTTCTGATTTACCACCATTGATGTTAATGTTTATTAAAGGAGGTTTATTTTTTTATACTTTTGAGTGGTTTCTCGAAGGAAATCAAATGTAAAAATGCCATGTGAATTAAAGTGTGAAAATGCTCAGACTTTTAACTATGATTCCTGGCTTGAAAAGTCGGCAGACAAAAGGCAAAGTGGTGGGGTGGGGGGTAGTCAGACCCTCCTAAAGCCTTACGCGCAAACTCTCTGAGCTTGCACAACAGGCTGATTGGCTAAATATTTCCCTCTCAACAGCTTTGTTATTACCACATTAGCCTGCACATATGGTCAAAGGTCACCTATTGGGAAAGACTGTAAGCCTGGTGTGATACAAAGGGTAGCATGTGAAATAAACAGCAAAACGGCCTGACATTCAGCAAACATAACAATAAAAGAAGCATAGAAATTATCTGGTAGTAACTAAAAGTTCATATCATCATTTAAGTGTTGCTTCAAAAATTGTTATAATTTTCCTCCCAGTAGAAGCCATGAAAAAGACAGAAAAGTACATAATATACAATGACACAAAGGTCACTCATTTTATCCATTCAGAGCTAATTGTGAAGATTTTTATGGAATTTGTTCTAATTTGCCCCTTTTGGAGATGACATATATTTCCAAACATAAAGAGCATATGGGAGCCTCCCCTGTGGCCTAGGGGTAAAATCTTAGTGTTATCACTGCCAGGGCTTGAGTTCGATCCCCGGCCAGGGTGCTGACCCACATGGCGCTGCAGACCTCTCCTGTCTCACCCGCTGCTCCCCTCAGCAGTGTGTTTTAGTCAATCTGTCTGTTCTGCTCCCTGCTCTGTCTCTGGTGAATTCTCTCACCCCACGTACTCAGTTCTTGCATGCAAAAAAAGAAAAAATAAATGTATATGTTATCCTTATTGATTCATAACCTTTTTGGTGTAAAAATATGATGAATATTATTAAGTGCTATTAAATATTTTCCTTCTGCATTTCTTTGTTGTGACTCTAAATGTTATTTCCTAAGAGGCCCATTGTTTTACTTAATTGCTTTAATTTACTTAACCGATACTTTCAGTATTGGTGGACGATTAAGCGTTTGGGATCTCTGCCATTCTAAATGGTGCTTGGATAATTAGTCTTCTGTACAATTTTTCATACAAGTTTTGCTTTTTAGGAAAAACAGACTCTGGACCTTTTGGAGCCCTTAATATAGTTAAGAGTATTTAAAGCTCTTTTCTTGCCCATGGAAGAGAGATTCCACATGAGATCACCCCATGACTGTATCTGGGGGTGTTACAAATGGTCCCTCTTTCCAATCGAGTGTGGATGTTTTTGAAGAAAAAGGTTAGTTTAATATAAAAATAGGTGGTGCACATGAGCACTGGGGCTTTCACATGATGATGTCTGACTGTTTAAGGAAATCATGGGAATAACGGCAATAACGGAGCCACTGGCCATGAAGGAGCCAAAGGCGAGAAAGGAGACAAAGGTGACCTAGGACCACGAGGGGAACGGGGGCAGCATGGCCCCAAAGGAGAGAAGGGCTACCCCGGGATCCCTCCAGAACTGCAGGTAAATAGTCTTTGGCACATCTTGGGGTGACGGCCGAACTGTCTCAGCCTCGGTGTCCAGGAGTTCAGGGCTTCAGGGCTTCTTCAAGTCCTCACCAGTGTTGGCTACACCCTGTGTCTCAATTCGCTGCTCAGTCATGCTGGGGGATGAGAAATTTATCAAGGGTGGAATTCAATGCCCTCCTGAGGCCAGATGGAAGGGGACCCCAGGTGTAAGTTAACCTGCCATCTCCCAAGTGAGAAGGAAGGTAGGTTACATCAAAGTGTTCAGCAACTTGAATATCTATACGTCTAGATAGGTGAATGGAATGGGGAAATGTCTACTTCTAATACTCTATGATCGTTTTATTATGTCTACATATTTAAATCTCTTATGTGGATGTTAATATACAAACCTGTTTTATGACAACTCAGATTTTGTGGTACAAAATTAATTTAAACTTCTATTTCCTTGACCACTAAATACAACTTATTGTTAAGTCAACCATGCACAGAATACCAGGCCAACTCATACTCATTTCAGCTGACAGGTTTTTTTAATCTACTTATGAGGCTGTAACCAGGATATTTTAGACCAAACTCAAGTCCCATTTATCTATTTCTCTTTTATGTGATTTTGAAATTCGTGTTGTCAACATCTAAAACTTGCAAATGTGAGATTAGGTCACCAAGAGAATTACTAAGTCTTGGTTACTTTCTTGGATGATAATTTTAAAATTTATTCTTCCAGGGACTATTTTCAACACTGAAAAGAAATTTTCTTTGAGGTGGTTTCCAATTGGTATGTCTTCCTGAAACAGTGACGTATTTTAAAATGAAGTAATTGGGAGAATTAACTGCCACATGAGGGGCTTAAAGAAATAGATTATAAAGCAACTCATCTGAGGGATCATTGGTGGGGGAGCAGGGATGAGCCTTTTATTTGAACAGATTTGGTAGTTGTTTGACCATAGATAAATTTATCATTTTCATAGGTCTTAGGTTCCTAAGTATAAACTAACGGTTCCTAACTGATTTGGTGTTTTATTTAATTTCTTAGATGTTTTCTGAAAACAGTTTAATAGTTTTACCACTCTGGGATGCCTGTGATAATATAAATTTTCCCAAACAAAAAAAGAAAAATGAGACAAATGGCCCTCCCTGGTGGCACAGCAGGTTAAAATACAGCACTAAGAAGCTAAAGCCACTTCAGCATGAGTTCGATCCCCACCTGCCCCGGAGGTGACCCACATGGTGTGGCAGACCTCTCCTGACCCGCCCGCTGCTCCCCTCAGCAGTGTACTTCGTTGATCTGCCTGCTCTGTTTCCCACTCTGTCTCTGGTGAAGCCTCTCATCGCCCCTGCACCTCTGGCCTGTACCCCAGTTCTGTAATGCATGAGTGGGTAAATCTTAAAAAAAAAAAACAAACAAAAAAAGAGACAGGTGCCACTCGGTCAGTTTAAGGATATCTAGTAAGCTAGACAATAAACACTCTCAGAACTAAAAACTCTACTCCAAAACCTGTGAATAATTATATACCATGGCTGGGTCCATGGAGTAACTGATTTAACGGAGAATACCCTGGGCAGTTAATTAATTTGTTACCAAATAATTTACCCTAACACCACAGTACAACCATTTGGGAGATTCCTTGCACACTTTTTTTTTTAAAAGATTTACTTATTTATTCATACAGAACTGGGGTACAGGCCAGAGATGCGGAGTGTAAGAGGATTCACCAAGACAGAGTGGGGAGCAGAACAGGCAGATCGATGAAGTACACTGCTGAGGGGAGCAGCGGGGGGGGGATGGGGGGGGCCAGGAGAGGTCTGCCGCACCATGTGGATCTCCTCCCGGGCAGGCAGGGATGGGGATCGAACTCATGCGGAAGTGGCTTTAGCTTCTTAGTGCTGTGCTTTAACCCGCTGAGCCACCAGGGAGGGCCTCCTTTCACACTTTTAAAGGAGACTTGCAGAGATGGGGAGACTGGTCATAGGCCAGGCTGTGAGGAGGGTACTTTGAACCCCCGCATCCCCAGTTTTAAAACCTTCTCTGGTGTCTTTCCTTGTCCATCCTTGTGCAAAGAGAGCCCTGACGCCATCTTTCTGAAGGTTCATATCCTTTCCGTTCCTTCTCTCAACATCCTAGGACTTTACATTTTCTGATTTTTTCCCCTCTCCCTAAAATACTTGTTCATTGAAAACAGACAATCCCAGCAAGTTACAGAGTGTGTGGCTCTAACTCACACTCAGTTCCAGTGACTCATTTGGATCCAAGATTGGTGTTGACTTTCAAATGTGAATTTCCAACGGTGCTATCATTTCTATTTCAATTCCAGTGCTTGGGTTTTTCCTACACCACCCAGCAGTTCTCCTGAGAGTCCTACAATTCAATTCCCATGATTCCCTTTTTGGGTTCCATTAGTTTGCTGGAGTTTCTTACAGAACTCAGAAAAACATTTCACTTATTAGATCACTGGTTTATTATAAAAGACTAACGTCAAGAACAGCCAGATGGAAGTGAGGCATAGAAGCAAAGACTAAGAAAATGGCCCAAGAGCCGGCATGCCTTCTCCAGAGCACGCCTCTCTTTCAGAGTCTCCAAGTGTTCATGAGCCCGCGGGCTCTCTGAACGCTGTTCTTTTGGTCCTTTACACAGACGCCATTACAAGGCGGGATTGATTAAATCACTGGCTAATGGGCTTCATCTCTGGCCCCTAGCCACTCCTCCCCCTTTACCAGAAGTCAGGGGAGTGGAACTGGAAATGACAAGCCTCTCACAGTGCCCGTGTCCCCAGGAAACCAGTCCCCAACTTCAGGAACTTACTCAAAGTCACCTCATTAACATCACAAAAGATATCTTGACTGCCCTCAACTCTTAAGAAATTCCAAATGTCTTAGGAGCTCTGTGCCAGAACTAGGAATGAAGACTAAATATATACTTGTTATAAATCATATCACAGAGTTGTTTTTTTTTAAATTAACAATGTTAAGTAAAGTTAAAGTTTTGGCTAGTAGACCTTTCCAATCCTTTAATGTGCCAATATGATTTTAATAGCTATAAATGGAAGATTCCATCCATTTTTTTCTAGTATTAGTTGAATCAGAATTTTAATGTTTCAAAAACAATTTTAAAGTCTAATGTTCTCCAGAATTCATGTTCAGAGCTGCTGATATGTTATTATTTTATCAACTACAATGTATGTAAACACTAGAAACTTTCATAAGTTATTTAATTCTTTCTCCATAGGTTAATGTTTATTTCCAAGCCTGCCAAGACAATTTGAAATAAACTCACTTAAGTAAAAACCTTATTTCTTTAAAGCAAATTGCCTATTAATTAACATCCAACTCTCCTTAGATTGCATTCATGGCATCACTGGCTACTCACTTCAGCAATCAGAACAGTGGGATCATCTTCAGCAGTGTCGAGACCAATATTGGAAACTTCTTTGATGTCATGACTGGTAGATTTGGGGCCCCAGTGTCAGGTAAGATGTAAAAATAAAGGAACTGAATGAATCAATCTAGCAATCAAGAAAGATAGGAAAGACTGACGGTAAGAAGGGGAAGGAGGGAGGGAGGGAGAAGTTCCCTGAGGGTTAATTCTTTTTGCTTCTTCCGATTTCTTCTGTCTTGCTTTTGTGACGCTTTTTACACCTTCCATGTCTCCGATTGTCATGTATCCCATCTTTCAACCCCTTCTCTTTTCTGACCCTTTTGACCCTGATTTCTTCCATTGTGTTTTGCAGTGTACTCTAGACACACCCTCTTCACTGATAGGTTTTAAATCCATGATGAAATATTTGGTTACATTTTTCATCTACTACTTAACAACATTTCTTCATGGCCACTTTCCTCATCTATTTGGTTATTTTTGCTGTTCTTTCCCACTTAAAAGGATTACCTGATGCTTGATGAGTTATAGTTTGCTAGACCAGCAAGCTACCCAGAGTAGTTCTCAGAAGAAGGGACCGCAGTAGATTCCAGGCTTGGTAACTCAATGGCACTTTCCCCAGCTTCCAGGTGACCTACAGATTCATTTAATATGAGCCTTCTGCAAGTTAGCTCTGCTCCACCACACTGCCCCTTCTCCACCAGGCTGCAGGCCAGGCTGCAGCCGGTTCAGGGAGCCTTCTGAAATCCGCTCTGCTCTTGCCAGTTCCCTTGACTTACTTGAGTAATTTTTGTTTTTAGCTGGCATATTTGAGACCTGTCACTGTGGGGCCACTTTCCTTATCCTCTGTGCTTCTTCCCAAGACTTCACTTTTGCTTCACCCAGCCTTGCTCATAGTGTTATAGGGCACCCCAAATCTGTCCCAGAACAGAGGGAGAGGGACACCCCTGAAGCCCCAAAATCCTGCCTGCTCTAAGTGGGTTCTGCCATCCGCTGCAAGAAGACAAAACATATATAAAACTTTAATGAAAAGGGACTTTAATACAGTGAATATACGATACGGAACACAAAGAATATGACTTCTAAATCAAACATCTGAAGTGACCCATCCCCTCGTGGGCAAAAGTCAACCCAAAAGGGATTGGCCCACAGCAAGGCCTGAAAGCTGCCACAAGACTAAAGCACCTTCTGGCCGGGACCCATGGAAAAGGGTCAGAAATGGCCAGACAAGTCTGGGAGGAAAAGAGCAAAATCAAAATCAGTATAAACACTGCCATAGTCACCTCCCTACAGGTATCTCACCCACATCTGCCTTAACCAGTCCAGGGCCAGGAAACAAGCACGGTTTCTTCATCACATGCTTGCTGCTCCATGTGGCTTCCTCAGGTCTCCTTCTGGCTCTCCATCCAGCTTCCTTCTCTTCTCTGTTCTTCTTTTTCTCTGCTCAGCTCCACCTTCCTGCCCCTGGGTGGGACAGGGAACCTGGAACTTTCCTTTTTCCTGGGGACCACCCTGTTACAATAGGAGATTCTTTTCAGCATCTGTACCTTCTCCCCAGTGTATTCTTTGGACACTGCTCAAAATTTGCCGCCATTTGGGGTTCAGAGCCCCCACATCACTTCTGCTCAACTCTGCCTGTTCTCAATTACCCTTGACGGCACTTTGAATTATTTTAAGTTTATGGATTTTTTTCCAGCATCCTCATTTTCCAGAAGATGAATGCTGTCTTGGTATTTGTTTTCAGGGCTCCTTGTTTCTCTGTGTGGTATCCAAAAGGAAAAGGAAGAAAGTTCCAATATATGTAATGGCCATTTCGAATTGTGACAGCTTCTAATGGGTATCTTGATTTCTTTTTCTGCCCAGCCGAAGTCAGCAGTGAACTGAGGTATATAAAATGATAGGCGCACTCTTTCATCACACCTCTGCTGGCTGCGAGCACGGTTGTGTAATTTTGTTTTGAAGATTTCTGTGGTCATTTCCCTAGAAGTAGTTTGTCAAGCACTCTGGGGCTTAGCAACGCACAGCGGATGGTTCTATCCCTTTCCATAGCTTTCTATCAATCAGGCGCTCAGCGGTTTAGCAGCTGTTCTGGCCTTTCTTGGGTTGGACATCATTCTGATTACCACCCTCATTTCCTTTCTACTTCATGTTTATACCTCATCCAGTAGATTTCAAAGTGAGCATTTCACACTGTTTGACTTTGGTTGTGCTGAGACAAAAATAGGCTGATTTTTGCAGTAACTGCCAGGTCAGGAAACAGTTCTTTTGTTTAAGTTTGTTGCCTGTTTTTTTGTTTTTGTTTTTAAATTTTTGGAGACTTTATTTATTTATTTTTAATGGGGTACAGGCCAGAGGTGCAGGGGCGGTGAGAGGATTCACCAGTGACAGAGTGGGGAGCAGAGCAGACAGATTGACAAGGCACACTGCTGAGGGGAGCAGCAGGCGGGTCAGGAGAGGTCTGCCACAAGTTGTGGGTCAACTGGGGGGGGAGGGGGGCTGCTCGAACTTGCACTGAAGTGGCTATGGCTGGCTTGCAGTGCTGTGTCCTAACCCATTGCACCAGCAGGGTGGGCCCTGTTGCCTGTTTTAGAACCTCCCTGACAAAAGAGGTAGGCTTGGTGTAGGGTGCATTTACCCTGCATTTCCATTTCCAACGCTAGTGTTTCCTTCACTCACCATTGAGTATCTCAGCATGCGCTTTGCAAATATTCCTGCAATTTTATTTTTTTGAGTAGCCATCATTATTTTCAGGAAAACAACATATTTTCCTGTCATTTTTAACTCTAGCTTTAAATCCCTGAAGCTTTAAAATTATCTTGTGTGTCTAAAAGAAGTTTTGTAAATGTGAAAAAGGGAATACATTTAAACGACTTTAAATTTTTTCCTTTTTTTTTTTTTTTAAGATTTATTTGTGCATACAGAACTGGGGTCTAAAAAAAAAAGCCCTCCCTGGTGGCACAACAGAGTAAACCCTTCTTCAAGGAAAATATTATTTTATTGGTTTAACAGATTGGAAATATTAGCATTACTTTAATTTTCTCCTTTTTTTTTTTTTCTT